TCTTCTCTCTCTCTGCCTATGGTTTACCGGGCAGACACATCTAGATGTGTATAAGAGACAGGTGTGTGTGTGTGTGTGTGTGTGTGTGTGTGTGTGTGTGTGTGTGTGTGTGTGATGTTTTGTACAGGCCTTTGGTCTAGGAACAGTGGATTCAATGAGTCATGGAGTCATTGGTGTTCTTTAAAGTTAATTCAATCAGGCATAAGAGTTCTTTAAAATAACACCATAAAGCGCACAAAGAGTCCGCCCTCTTTTCCTTTCTTTGTAGACTCCTGCATGGGTTCATTGGTGGGTGGCCGTGATACTTTGCCTCTGTGGCGTTCTGATGGTGGTCTTATCGGTGGTGGTGATTTTCTGGCAGGCAGGAGCTTCTGGTGGCAGCAGAAAGAGCTGGGGCAGCCGTTCGGGCGAGCCGCGGGCATTAACTCCGTCGCAAGAGGACCCTTCTGGAAGTCGGACTCCGGCTGGCAGCTCTGCTATAGAAAGCACCCCAACCACGAGCGGATATGATGCAATGATGGATCGTGTAATTGAACGATCACCGTCCGTCACACCTCCGGCAATGTGGGGTGGGGATGCTCCGCTCGTCACTCCTGTCGTTGGAAACGGTCGATCGTCTGGGGCAGGGTCTGATACCGGTGCTTCATACCTTACATCTCGATTTTTGCCGCCCTATCACAGCTACCTCCCTGCCGCAAGCCTCGTCAGCAGGCTGGACGCGTCAACGTTCCCGTCAACGGCATCGTCGGGTACATCGTCAACTGCTGGCATGGCTGGCACCACAAGTCTTTCCTCTTGGATCAGTGGCACAGAGGCTTTTGCCGGAAGCTCTCTGCCTCTTATGGCTGGAGCTGTGCCTCCGGCAGCACCCAGCCGATGGCATAAATCTAGTGCTGTTCCGGGTCCCAACGGTGCAAACCTGGACATTGGAGGAAGAGGAGGGGCAAGCAGTGGAGCCATGAGTGTGATCAGGGAAGGAGTGTCAATGCCCTCTGATGGTGGTGGTGCAGAACAGAGTTCCGAAGGAGAGAAAAGCAGGGATGGCGGAAGGTCCAGGAGAAGCGATCCGAGTAATAATGTGGCTTCGCCAAATACTGACGCAAGGCAAAACAATGATGTGGTGAGCACCAAAAATAGTCCTGTCTTTTCTTCTTTTTTTTTGTCTTCTGAAGGACCAATTTTTCGATTTATGTGCATCATTCCTTGCGCAGGGGCCATGCTCATCTCATGGATATGCAGACTGGATGTGTGGCAGCCACTGCTATGTCTGGAAAGCTTTGCCAGGGGTGTGATCTTCTCCACAGTAAAGGAAATGGAAGAATTTGCTAACAATGATGGTACTAACAATGATGGATTTGTGGCTGCTGTTGGCCTTGTTGTCATCGGCTTGTGCAGGGGTCTGCTTTGCCAGATAGCCATCCGATGTGGGGCCGAGGGGGATACCTACCCTCGCCTCAACAAAACCTGACGGCGGGACCGGGATCAGAAGTGGCGGATGTGCCGCAGCCCTCCAATTTTGCACTGCAGCTGGTGCAAAATGTTGTCTCGGAAACGCTCGGCAATCTTGGGCGCGCGATGCATGAGCAGACACAGAACCTTCACCTAGACGTCTTGCGACAATTCCATATGCAGCAGGTCAGCTGGTCTCTCATATCTGCTATTCGTTTCCTCTCTCTCTCTCTCTCTCTCTCTCTCTCTCTCTCTCTCTCTCTCTCTCTCTCTCTCTCTCTCTCTCTCTCTCTCTCTCTCTC